GAGTGAGTGAGTGACTGAGTGACTGAGTGAATGAGTGAGTGAGTGAGTGAGTGAGTGAGTGAGGTGAGTGAGGTGAGTGAGGTGAGTGAGGTGAGTGAGGTGAGTGAGGTGAGTGAGGTGAGTGAGTGAGTGAGTGAGTGAGTGAGTGAGTGAGTGAGTGAGTGAGTGAGTGAGTGAGTGAGTGAGTGAGTGAGTGAGTGAGTGAGTGAGTGAGTGAGTGAGTGAGTGCGTGAGTGAGTGAGTGAGTGAGTGAGTGAGTGAGTGAGTGAGTGAGTGAGTGAGGCAGTGAGTGAGTGAGTGAGTGAGTGAGTGAGTGAGTGAGTGAGTGAGTGAGTGAGTGAGTGAGTGAGTGAGTGAGTGAGTTCGAGTGAGTTTGAGTGAGTTTGAGTGGGTTTGTGTGAGTTTGAGTGGGTTTGAGTGAGATCGAGTGAGTTTGAGTGGGTTTGAGTGAGTGAGATTGAGTGAGTTTGAGTGAGTTTGAGTGAGTTTGAGTGAGTTTGAGTGAGTTTGAGTGAGTTTGAGTGATTGAGTGAGTTTGAGTGAGTTTGAGTGTTTTTGAGACAGTTTGAGTGAGAGATTGAGTGAGATTGAGTGAGAGATTGAGTGAGATTGTGTGAGATTGATTGATTGTGATTGATTGAGATTGATTGAGATTGAGTGAGATTGAGTGAGATTGAGTGAGATTGAGGAGATTGCGTGAGATTGAGTGAGATTGGAGTGAGATTGGAGTGGGATTGGAGTGAGATTGAGTGAGATTGAGTGAGATTGGAGTGAGATTGAGGAGATTGAGTGAGATTGAGGAGCTGAGTGAGATTGGAGGAGATTGAGTGAGATTGAGTGAGATTGAGTGAGATTGAGTGAGATTGAGTGAGATTGAGTGAGATTGAGTGAGATTGAGTGAGATTGAGTGAGATTGAGTGAGATTGAGTGAGATTGAGTGAGATTGAGTGAGTTTGAGTGAGTTTGAGTGAGTTTGAGTGAGTTTGAGTGAGTTCGAGTGAGTTTGAGTGAGATTGAGTGAGATTGAGTGAGAGTGAGTGAGAGGGAGTGAGAGGGAGTGAGAGGGAGTGAGAGCGAGTGAGAGCAAGTGAGAGTGAGTCAGAGTGAGTCAGAGTGAGTGAGAGTGAGTGAGAGTGAGTGAGTGAGTGAGTGAGTGAGTGAGTGAGTGAGTGAGTGAGTGAGTGAGGGAGGGAGGGAGGGAGGGAGTGAGTGAGTGAGTGAGTGAGTGAGTGTTGTCCAGGGTTGCCCAGCAATTCATTGGTGCGTATGTTGCCAAGCGTTTCTTTTTCTTTTGTTTTTCTTTTCTTTTTCTTTTTCTTATGCGCAAAAAATATATTTTGTTTTTCAAAAGGTCACAAAAAATCTTGCAGGTCACAATTCTAGCAGCTGTGCCGGAGTGGACAAAGGCAGTTGAGGGGCCTTGCCCGGGAAGGGGCTGGGCCACAATCAGCTGGCTGGCCTCGGCTTCTTCCAAGAAGCCCGTGATCTCCGTGTAGGTGAAGCTGTGATGAGCACCCCACTTCTTTTTCCAACCTTTTTTTCTGGTGCCCAGGGCTCCTTAAAAGAAATCTCCATGTTGCAACCATTTGAAACATGTTGCTTTTTCCACCCCAACATTTTCAGTTGGACACCAGCATTTACAAGTTGCAATGTTCAGGTGTACAATGCATCCGGATCCCTGCTGCCCCGCTAAGAACGGTCTTCCACCAAAAGGGCTCCCTAACTGAGGAACGGCGCCAGCCACAGGCCCGCGAGCTACAAGTCCCACCGGCGGCGCCGCGCCACCAACGGCCACCGGCGCAGGTCCTTCATGTTGGGCACGGTGCCCATGCGGGTGGATGTGGAGGTGGGAGAGGGACCCTTAAAGCTCAGCTACGGCCCGGAGTTGGAGCCGCCCAAGGACAGGGTGGGATCACTCGGGGTTTCTCCCCCCTTCTGTGATACAAGGGAATCCCCCTTATGAACAAAACAGTCTTGGGGAAGCCCTTTCTGTTGTATCACAGAAGTGGTCATTCCCCACAGCCCTGCCCAAGGACCTTCTAGTGCAGCTCAACTCTGCCAAGCACAAAGACCTCACCTTCTCCGATCGGGTCGTGCCGGCCGGGTGCCACAATCGGGATGGCCTGGTGTGGCTTTGCGCTGCGAAGAACGGCGGGAACGAGCCGGCTTTGTACATCAAAGAGCTGTCCTTAAACCATTGGACCCTCCGCTTCATGATGCGCTCGAAGCATAACCAGGCCAAGACCGCCTCTGGCATTGGCTTTAAGGAGGCCTCGGGCCGGATCTCGTGGCTTCTGACAGACGTGGCTTGGCTTGAACGGGTGTCAAACAAATGACACTGGCAGGCATTTGGCTTCCACTTTGGGGGTACCCTATCTTTGACCAGCCGTAGGAAACTTTTGTTTCTCCAGTTTTGAGATTTACACCTTCTGGGCTTGGCCGGCTGTCTCATCAGCCTTGAACTGTGGAGAGGTGAGTCGGGGGGATGTGTTTGCAGAACTGCCTCGTTCGAGGTGGAGAAGCGGCTTTCTCTTTTGGCGGGATTCTATCCTGGGCCAGAAAACTCCGTTCTGAGAGGACCTTTTGGAGGTTGCTTTAAATGGAAACCAAAGGGAAGCCACTCAGTTTGAGGGTCCCCCAAAACAGACAAACCAAGGGGAAACCACCTAGTTTGGGGGTGCCTCAAAACAGACAACCCCATTCGCCACCAAGGGGGAACCGCTTAGCCCCAAAAACAGACAACCCCATGGGCCACCAAGGGGAAACCACGAATTTGTCGGTTTTTCGGGGATCCGCAAGAATGATGTTTTTCCTTTGGCATCCGTGTGACACCACTTCAAAACGGGTTCCCCGATCAAAGGCAAACCCGGTCCGGGCTGGTTTGGATCTGGATTTGAAATTTTGGCTCTTGAAAAGGGGAAACCACCAACACCTCCAAACCAAGTCCAATCAGAGAGAAGCTGATCGATGGAGATGGGCGTGATTCTCTGTCGCGGGTACCACTTTGTGGTTCTTTTCAAAGTAAACAAACAAATCGCGGCGGGTCCCAATTAATCGAGAGCCCTGGGTGTTCTGACCCCCCCATCCGGGCTCCATAAAACATGAGGTGTCCGACAGTAAGCCGAAGATGATCCTGGAGAAGGGTATATGGGCGGGGGGGGCCCGGGACCTTGGCTTCGAGCATCTTGGAGTTTCAATTAAGTGTTCATGCGCCGTGGGGGGTGGAGCGTTTTTTCTGCCAGGAAACACGGGTCTGAGCCAATTTTATCAATATGGGGGACCAGCGATGGTTTGCATTGTTGCAACCCAGAGAATCTTGCTCCCTTCGTGGAAGCAATGGAGGTTCCATGTTGAACTAGAAGATGGGTGGCCCGAAAGCGGCAAGTTCTTCTCGCAAGTTCTCTGTGCAAGTTGCTCTAAGCAAGTTGTTGGCGCGAGTTGCTCTGAGCAAGTTCTTCAAGCTAGTTCTCTCAGCAAGTTGCTCTGAGCAAGTTGTTGCCCGAAGTTCCTCTGAGCAAGTTCTCCAAGCACGTTCTCTGTGCAAGTTGGTCTGAGGAAGTTGCTGGCGCGAGTTCCTCTGAGCAAGCAAGTTCTTTGAGCAAGTCGCTCTGAACAAGCTTCTCCATTCGCGTAACACGTTCGTACTTAAAAGTTGCGATTTTCCAGGCGGAGCTGCGGAAGTGTGCTTCGCGTACTACTTTCGTACTTAAACGTCGCGATATTCCAGCCGGCGCTGCGGAAGTGTACTTCGCGTGTTATTTTCGTACTTAAAAGTTGTAATTTTTCAGGCAGAGATGCGAAAGTGTACTTCGCGCTTAACAATTCCGGTTTTCGAGCCGGAGCTGCTAAAGTCTATTTCGCGTACGCGTACTACTTTCGTACCCAAAAGTTGCGACTTTCCAGCCGGAGCTGCGAAAGTGAACTTCACGTACTACTTTCATACTCAAAAGGAGCGTGTTGGTTTCTTGCTCAAAAGTTGCAGTTTTCCAGCCGGAGCTGCGATCGCGTTTGGGATTTTCCATCTGGGGCTGCGAAAGTGTACTTGCGCTTAAAGGTTGCGATTTTCGAGCCGGAGCTGCTAAAGTCTATTTCGCGTACACGTACTACTTTGGTACGCAATTTTTGCGACTTTCCAGCCGGAGCTGCGAAAGTGAAGTTCCTTCACGTACTACTTTCGTACTTAAACGCTGCAATTTTCCAGGCGGGGCTGCCGCGGACCAGGGGGGAATTGACGCCCTGACCGCGGGATACTTCCAAAGGCCGTTTTGTGAGCAAGGACTTCGTCGTGAGGGTCGCGCGGATCGCAGGAATCGTGCAGTTTTTGAAGGGTCGGGCGGAGTTGCTTGACCTCGGCCACGCGGGTCTCCACAGAGGGTTGCGCACACACTGCGCAAATCGCAAAAAAGTCCCCAGTTTTTGGTATCAACCGCGCGGATGTTTGCACCGAGCGATGACGGCAACCCAAACCGCGAAGAAGAGAAGATTCTTATGGGCGAGCTCTTTCTCTTTTTTTCTCTTTCTTTCTCTCTCTTTCTTTCTTTCTTTCTTTCTTTCTTTCTTTCTTTCTTTCTTTCTTTCTTTCTTTCTTTCTTTCACGCACGCGCGTAAGTATCTTCCCTATGAATCTCAAACTTAACTTACACAGCTGCTGATGCCGAGCCTCTTGCTTTATGTACTTGGCTCTGCACACTTCTCTGTACAATCCCTTGGCTCATGCGCTTGGCTCTGTGCACTTGGTTCTGAGCACTTGTCTTTGTGTACTTGGCTCTGTGTGACTTGGCCGTGTGCAACGCAGCCAATTGGCTCTGCCGTGCAGTTGGCTCTGTGCAACTTGGCTCTGCGTGAGTTGGCTCTGTGCAGTTTGGCTCTGTGCAACTTAGCTCTGTGTGTGACTTTGCTCTTCGAAACTCGGCTCTGTGCAACTTGGCTCTGTAATCACCCTGTGTGATTCAGTCCGAGGACCCCGCACAGAAGAACCCTTCGCTATGCTTTCCGGACAAAGCCGAAGCGGGAGATTTCAGCCGTCTCTTTTTCGGCCTTTCGGCTGAACAAAAATAGCGCGGGGGTCATGCCAAAAAAATGGGTCTGTCTTATTTCCTGTAAGTCAACACGGCAAGAGCCCTCCAGCGTCCAGCGGGCCGAGATGCAGGTCGTTGCCCAAGGTCAATGCGCTTAACCAGGCGGGCGCAAGGCAGGTTTAGGCAGGGAAATCACCCCACATCTCCTCGCTGGTCACGAGAAGCCTGTCACGTCAGACCGCCCAGCAGCAGTTATCAACCCGGGCCTGCCAAAGCTGATAAAACGCTTCAGCTTATGGATTTTGTAGAACAACTTAAAACAAACCAAACGTCCTTAACCTGATTTTTTCTAAACAGCAACATGCTTCATATTTTTGCCGTCCCTGGTATGCGGTGAAGGATTAGAGGAAGATTCGTTTGGGCACTTGTTCGACCATCTCCGAGCGGAGTTCAAGAAAAGGAGCGTTTTTTAAAGGCAATCTCGCAGCGTTAAACTTTGTTCTGAAAAATGTCCGAGCATTTGACAAGTTGAGCCTACAGCCGCGTTCCTAAGTGTGCAACGCCTACTGACAAAGAGCTGGATACTCCAGCGTCGACAGAGCTGCTTCAGATCCTCGGCGTGGCCATCTTCGTGTGCAATGCAGATCCAACCCTTGGCGCCTTGCGCGCGAGACCTCAGCAGCGGTGCGCAGTGTGAAAGTTGTTTGCGGCTTTCTGCCGGTTGCGCTGCAGGTGGCCTAGGCCTGACAACTAAGGCTTGTACAGACCGGACAGAACCCTTCAATCTACAATATTGTTGGAGATGGTGATGGAGATGGCAATGGTTGAATGGCTGTGCCGGGTTGCTGATCTCCGAACAGCAGCGGCCAATCCACGAAAAGGATGCTCCGGCTCATCGACAATCTCGCCTTGGCCCAATCTGCAAAGCCCCTTCTTCACGGACTTCATCTCCTTCTTCGTCCCAGACCCTCACGCTGAACGGATGGGAAAATCACGACACACCATCCTCATGATGCGCGCTATGAAACTCAGAGCGCCCATGGAAGAGCAGGGTATGGCAGACAGATGCCGTCAGGCACGTCCTTGTCACTTGACATAGCAGTGCGTGACGTTCCGATCTTCTCTTACAACGTGATCGTTGAGGTTGGCCTGGTCATGCTCGCCGGTGACGCAGGCCATCCCAGCTGCCGGCACCGGAAGATTAGAAGCAAAGAGGGCATATCAAGCAAACTCTGGAAAGAATTCATGGATCAGGTCATCCTCTCGGTTTTCGCAGACCTTGTTTGCGCCATGTGAAATCTGGACGTCGACCGATTCAAAAACCTCCTGCGATTCAGAAGCTGCGACTCAGAAACTACGATTCAGAAACGACTTCGCCCAATTCAGAAACTATTTCGCCCGATTCAGAAACTGCTCCGGCGCCCGATTCAGAAACTATTTCGGCCGATTCAGAAACCAGTTTCGCCCGATTCAGAAACTATTCCGCCCGACTCAGAAACTGCTCTGCCCCGATTCAGAAACTACTCCGCCCGATTCAGAAACTGTTCCCTCGCGATTCAGAAACTTTTCTTTCCCGATTCAGAAACTATATCGCCCGATTCAGAAACCATTTCGCCCGATTCAGAAACGATTCAGAAACCAGTTTCGCCCGATTCAGAAACTACTCCGCCCGATTCAGAAACTGTTCCCTCGCGACCCAGAAACTTTTCTTTCCCGATTCAGAAACTATTTGCGCCCGTTTCAGAAACTATACTCCAGAAACTACTGCCGCTCAGGTGAGCGCCCCCACTCCAGTGCACGCGCTCGGCACTGCTGGCGCATGGTAAGCCAGCGCCCTCGCTCAAGCCGCTCAGCACCGCACACATGGCAACATGGAAAGCACACCCGCTCAAGTGCGCCCGCTCAGCAAGTGCGCGCACCTCTGCCAAATGGTGAGCACACTTGCACCCGCGCAGTTCTGCACACACGTTTGGCACATGGTAACATGCCACAGATGCCAGCCAAGACCTTCGCTTGTGCTTCACCATGGGTGGCTGGCTAAGATGGACTTTTCTTGAAGTACCCAAAGGAGATTGTGGAGACATATTTGACTTGCTTTGCTGCAGCATCAGGTCCCAGCCTTTGCCAACTGCGCACATGCCTGCATGGTAAGCATGCCCGCTCAAGTGCACCCGCTCAGCGCAGCATGTACGTCTGCCAAATGGAAAGTGCACCCGTTCAAGCCCACACACTCAGCGCTGCGCACACATGGTAAGCACACCGGCTCAAGCGCATTCGCTCATCAATGCGCACATGCCTGGCACATGGTAAGCACACCCGCGCAAGCACACGCGCGCAAGAGCACTCGCTCAGCGCACTGGCTCAAGCGCGCCCGCACATGGTAAGCGCACCAGCTCAAGCGCACTTGCTCAGCGCTGCACACATGCCTGGCACCTGGTAAGCGCACCCGCCCGCTGAGCACTGCGCACATGCCTGGCACAGGCAAGCGCACCCGCTCAGGCGCACTCGCTCAGTACTGCGCGCATGCCTCGCACATGGTAGGCACACCCGCCCAAGTGCACCTGCTCAGCACTGCACGTCTGCCGCGTGCTAAGCACACCTGCGCAAGCGCACCCGTTCTCAGCAGTGCGCACATGCCTGGCACATGCTCAGCGCGGCGCACACGGCTGCCACATGACAAACGCACCCGCTCAAATCCGCCCCGCTCTCAGCAGTGCGCACTGAGCATACCTGCTCAAGTGCGCCCGCTCAGCAGTGCGCACACGTTTGCCAAATGGTTTGCGCATCCGCTCCAATGCGCCTGCTCAGTACTGCACGCATGCCTGGCACATGGTAAGCTCATCCGCTCAAGCGCGCCTGTTGTCAGCAGCTATGTTTGGCGCATGGCAAGCACCCTCGTTCAAGCGCATAGTAAGCACACCTGCTCCAGCGCGCCCGCTCTGAGTGTCGCAGCATGTCACGCACCATTGCGCATTCCGCAGTAGTTCAAGCCAGTGCACCCCTGCAGCACCCCCCGCGGCTTGTTGGGCTTGCTGCTTCGGGTTTCTTTCGGCCAAAATGTGTGCCGACCCCTTGACCCTGCCGGGTCCATGTGTCCATCTGTTTCGTGGGCTGCACGGCCCTTGCAGACAAATGCTCAAGGTGTAGGGCAGCCCAATTTTGCAAATATGGGTCGAACCCATTTTTTCGTTGGTTTTCATGAAAGCACAAGGAGGCCACAAACCATCGGGGCAGCCTTGAGTCACCAGGCCCAACATCCGACATCTCAGTTCGAGGTACAAACCGCCTCCGATCAGGATCCGGCCGTGAACCCTTTGACCTGAGAACCTCTCTGCGCGACCTTTGATCGGCTTCCCCAAGCTTGGCGCGCGGAATCGGCCCAAAACTTTTCCAACTTCGGAACTCTGACCAAAGGCTTCCCTTGCGACCGAAACAAAAGGCTTGAACTCGGTGAATCAGACACCAACTTGCTTCGATTTTCCCTTCTGGTTCCCCTGCAGCCGTGCAAGAAAAGGGCGGCCCTGCCTTGTTTTGGCTGAGGCAAATGGAGGCGAAAGTTTGGCACCAGTTTGAGATCATGAGGGCGCACGGCTATGTGAGTGTGTACATGGATGGAAATATGATTTTCCGGCGAGGAGGGGAGGGATGGAAATTTGAGCAGGTTGTCATCCGGTCCTGGCGGAATGAAGTCACCGTTGCGCAAATCAGTCAGACAAGCGAGTTCTCCTCTTTGACGGTCATGAATACCTTGCACCCCAAGAATGGAAACGGTGGACGGTATTTCAACTTCAATATGGATGAGCTGAACCTGAAGGCCAACAAGGACAGCGGTCGGACAAATTGCGCGCGCCGACGTGGCCTCGAACCGCCACCGCGCGGCAGTTTTGGCATGTTTCAATGCTGACGACGGCTGGTTGCTGTTGCAGGGTGCTGGTGGCGGCCGTGACAGCACCCTGCGCTCCTTCTTTGCTTGAAGTTGGAACCCTTGTAGCTTTCAGCTGTTTGGGGAAAACAGCAGAGCCATGCAAATGTAACCAATGCCTTTCTTGGCTCGTTGAAGCTTCCCCAGAAATCTGTTGCCGCAAGCGGCTTCGACACATCGAACCCCTCACCTTGACCACCCCCAAACAGGGGTCGTCTTTTTAAGGACGGCTTTCTTATTTTTTCTCATGGGAAACCAGAGGCGAAAGCCCTTCGAAAGCCGAACGGAAGGAGACTTTGCACGCTTGCCATAGCCCCCTCTTTTCCTGGCGTGTTTTTGGGCTGGACGGATTGCAATTGAGGGGAGCTGGTTGTATATGTGTCCATAAAATGGAGGGCGAGTCGGAGGGCTGAGGTTTTGTGACGGGAGGTCTACCAGCGGTACATATGGCAGTGCCGCAAGAAGACGTGTGATTCTGGTAGTGGTTATTGCTGGAAGATGGAGTGGGAGGGGACGGTCATCATCTGGACCAAGCTCGGCCAGGGCGGAGCTGATAGTTCCGGCCGCAGGCCGGGGAGTTCCACTTCCATCGAGAAAAAAGAGTCACTGAGGATATGATTCCACAAGCCAAGCCCTTCCTTTGAGCGAGGCAGCTAAAAGGCTTGTTTCCACACGAAGGACGCAGACATGGCCCTTCTCAGAACGCCCCTTTTTTTTTCTCAGGAAGGGGGCCATCTGTTTGTTCCACTGATGGCATGGCTTTGATTTTCACAACTGCTCCACTTGGCTGCGCGCTTCGGCCGGCTCCGAAGCTATCAAAAGTGGGGGTTGCTTGTCGTGGACTCGTAGCTTGGCGCGATATCCAAGGTCTGGTAAATGGAAAGGCGGCCTCTCCTAGTTTTCTCAGGGCTCCTTAGAATAAATTCATGTCGCAACCATTTGCAACATGTTGGCTTTTTCAGCACCAATTTTTTCAGTAGGAAACCAGCATTTACAAGTTGCAATGTTCAGCTGCATAATGCATCCGGATCCCTGTTTAACTCTCATGTTGAGCGCCCCGCAGGAACAATGGAAATGACAAAGGCAGGCACGGCAACTTTGAGCCGGGCGACGTCCTCACAACGGACCTCAGTTGCAACATTTAAGGACCGGGAACTCCCGGACTCACGACTAGCCCATCCGAGGTGGACTAGATTTCGTAGATGTTTGCAGCCGCCAAGGTTGTCTTTTTGCATCCGTGGATTTGCCTTACGCTGAAACGGGCCGGATTGCAAGCAGCTCACAGCTCGAAGGGGAACGCTTCTGGGAATCGTGCGCAAGCAGCTCAAATGTCAACCCCGCATGGGGGCCACTTTTTGCGTTTGAATTGGGTGAGTTGTGACGGAGAACGCGCGGGAGATGTTTAACAACTGGCGCCCGGAACCTGCCCCAAACAGCAGTTCCGTTTCAATCTTGTCAGGAACTCCTAAAGCATTCAGCTACCTGGAGGGACTTGTGTTGGGATGGGTTTGGATTGGGAGGTGTTGCCTTGTTATTGGCTTGGGGATGGGTGTGAAAAGCGGAAACAAAAAGACACCGATTCGCGCAGGGAAGGTGTCTGCCTCAAATCAACAAATCGAACCAACGAAACCGAAGATCGACACCGATTTGGAATGCAAAGCCCTCCCCCCCAAAAAAAGAACAGGGGGGGCACGGAGCGGGAAGCCAAACATATCAAGCAAGCTATGCGGTACTTGCCATGTTCTCCAAAAGTCGCACTTTCATTGACCGAAAGTCACCTTCAAGAGTTTCCTTGGTCAACTTGTGGCACTTGGTTCAGCCCCAAACCTCGCACAAGACACGCCATCCATGTGCAGTCGGACCTGACTTGGCTTTGGTGTTGGCATTCAAGGGATGTCAAGGTCTGGATTTTTCTAGGGGTTGATGCCAACCATTCTTTTCAACCACCGTTCTGTTCAAAATTGGTGGTTTTGTAGAAAGAAGGATGCCTGGAAAGAATGGGGAAGGTACCCCTAGAATTTTCTGCTCAGCATCAGACTCATGACTGACGCTCGTCGCCACGTGTTCGGCTCATTCAAGGCAGCGGCAGGGGAAGCTTCGTTGGGGGAAGTGAGATCAAGCGCTTCTCAAGAATGGCGCTTGACCAGATTTGGATTTCCATCATCCAATCACATCCCCAAGTCAAGCCCCGCACGCCCGAGCCCTCACCCCCAATCCAAACCCATCCCAAGACAAGTCCAAAAGTCGCCGTGTCATTGGAGCCCACCTCTTGCTATCTCCTCATGTTACTTCTCTCAAAAAGGTGGGAGGTTCTCCGAAGTCGGCGCCAAGAATTTCCTTGGCCCACTTCTGGCCGCTTCTTCTGCCCCACCGAAGCGGCCCGACTTTCACGCGCCCTTCCTTCGGCTCCTTCGGTCCCGCCGGGTTTTTCCTCGAAGAAAAACCCCAACAAAAAATAAATCTTCCATGGCTGCATGAGTAGGCCGAGAGCAGGGGCCGAAGGGCAAAAGAGGCCGAGGTAATTACGCATCCAGGGCGGGTGACTCAAAAGGGGCCCCGTTTGGCCATCCCCGGCCCTCACAGCGCTCGCTCGCTCGCTCGCTCCGAGCTTCCGGCAAGCTGATGCGATGGCGCAGCATCTCTTCCGGGACGGCGACCAGGCGGTGCTGCGGGGGCTCAACAAGCGCTCGGCCGCTTGGCTTTGGCTGGCCTCGTTATTTTGTCATGATCAAAGTCACCCCCCAAGAGGTGGGTTAAAGGGAAACAGCCCCATTGCCTGACTTTGATAACCCCCAGAAATCGTCAAGAGAATGGCGCCAGTTTGGCGGCTACGGGCGAGACCTCGAGCGAGACCTCGATACCTGTTCGAAGGCAGAGGTTGCCACTGCCAACATCAGGTCTTTTTTTTGCTTTTGCTTTCGGTTCCGTGGTGTACCTCTCTCAGGATTTGAGCGGGAATTTTTTCGGGGAGTTTGCTTCTTTGGATGCCCCGGCCAATAGAAGGGGATCACTTCAACAAAACGACCTTGCGCTCGGCAGCGAGCATTTTTGCCCATTTTTCGCCATGATCGAAGTCGCACCCCAAACAGTAGGCTAAAGGGAAGCACCCGGGTTTCTGACATAAACCCAGCCAGATGACAACCAGGGGCCAGCCTTCGAGCAACTGGCTCCATCCCCTAATCAATGTGGAGGGAGACAAGTACATGGTTGCCACATGGCTGTGGTTGTCAGAAGCAATGGGATCCCATTTTGGGGTGGGTGAGTGCACCACCCATTTTAGGACCTATTTTAGTGGGGATTGGGATGTTCACTGGGGGGCAACCGGTGTTTTGACCCAAACCTCACTCACCGATTCGGGTGTCCAGAGCCCTCGGAAAAAAAAAATACAAAAAGAGAACAAAAAAGCAAAAAAATCAAAACAACAACAAAAAAACAAAACAAAAACGAGATGCCTCAACTCTGGCCACCGCAGGCGGGCCTTTCTTTGAACGGGGATCCTTTGTCGAGGCATTTTGAGGTACCGCCCCCCCGATGTAAGGCTGGGGGTGGATTCGTAGCGACTCGACAGCCACCTCTCACTCCGTGTCCTGCGCTTGAACAAAAGCTCGAAAGTTGGGCTGGTATCGTCAACCAACGAGCTTTTCCAAGTCTTTGCAAAGGTTGCTTTTCTGTAAGGAAGTCATTACCATGACACACAGCCACACACACACACACCCACACACACACACACACACACACACACACACACACACACACATGGACACGTTGGTTGGGGGGTTTGACCGAATCGCACTCACCAAATCGCCATGTTAGTTGGTTTTGGAGCCGAACATGGGTTTGGAGGTTGGCACTTTCTGTGATGTCCCCTCTAAACTTATAGGCGTCGAATCTGCCACTGACGTCCACGGGGATAGGCGTGTTTTGTGCCTTCCATTTGCTGTCCCAGTCATCCACAATATATATATATATATATTCATACACAAACATTGTGATTTTTAGCGGTGCAATCGGTGCATTCTTTTCCGTCATCTGTTTTTTTTGCCATGTTACTCATATGTCTTAGCAGCTTCTGAGTCGGGGGTTCAGTTGATGTATTGCTTTGTTGCTCCGAAACCGTGCAGCTTCTTGGACCCGCAGCTATCAAGCCCCATGTCCCTTTCCCTTCTTATTTCTTCCAACACTAAGAAACTAGAGGTGCTCACAAGAAGAAGACCATGTCCAGGCACTTGGGGCTTCTCCGTTTGGGACATTTTCTCACTGGGTTTAAGCCTACCTGTCAAGAAGTGGAGCCTCTCAGGGCTCCCCCACAGGTTTCGCTCACCAAGAGCGCGACCAAAAAGTTGGGTCCGGTCCGGTCCAGCCGCTTTTTCGCGGAGTCTTCGACAGAACTCGCTCGGGACATCGGTCGAAGCGGTCGCGGGGCGAGCCGAGGATCTGAACGGGCAGCGGGTGTCGCTGGTCACCTGGGTGCCCGAGCGGTGTCGCGCCTCGGAGAATCGGAGAATCGGAGCATCGGAGAATCGGTGCGGTGCGGTGCCCCGTTTTCCATGGGGAAGCTCGGGAAGTAGGAGAGAAAAATAAATTGTTGGGGTTGTGGGTTCGTTGTCTCCTTTTCTTATCTTCCCCGTCAAGACTTGGGAGGTTCAGGCTAATGGGCTTGTCTTGTCTCTTAAGGGCGCCTTGAAATGGGGATGTTTTTGTGGTAGCCTCGGGGTGGTTTTACCTCAGGGTGCGTTGGTAGATGGCACAATCCTGGTAGAAGTGGGCAAGGCAAGCAAAGGGCATGATAAGTGACCAGCACGGGGAACGTGTGCCATCTACTGTCCAGAAGCTAGTGTTGTAAAGAAGGAACGCATGAAAGCGCACTCAGTTCTGACAAGTCGAATTCCCTCGTTTCTCACGAATCGAAATCCTCATTTCTCACGAGTGGCTTTTGCTGGTTTTGCGTTATATTGAGCCATCCATCCATTTATCCACCCATCCATCCCCAAAAATGAGGAGATATTCAGATCTGATTTCCTCAGACAAACCCATGCGTGCTTGGGGGCATGCTTGCTTTTACTGTCCTTGGCATGGCTGTCTAGATTCTCCAATAGAGGGCCCATCCTACCAACCTCTACAAGGGTGGTCGAGGTTCTTAGTCAGCAGGTGTTTTCAGCTACACCCTGGGACCTCCCAAAGTTGCCAAGTTGGACAGCCGAAATGTGAGTTCAGGCCGTCTTTATTGGAGAAGCCCTCATTTCTCATACGTCAAATGTGCCGATATGTCCGCTTTATTTTTCCGCAGTGCCGAACAAATCTTGTCAGAAGCCATGTTGGGGTGCTGGGTTGAGGGTTCTTGGGTGAAGGTTTTGTCTCCGGTTTAGCTTTAGGATTCTTTAGGTTTAGGGTGACCGAAATCCAGAAAAAGGGGCCCTATCTTGACACATGCACCTGTCTTGGTGTTGTTTCCCTTCAAGCCGTAAATTCGGAGGGTCGCGCTAAGATCTTTGCCATCTTCGCAGACTTCAGCTCATCGATCCATCGATCCATCGGATCGACTTTTTCGGACGTGTTTTTCTTTTTTCTTTTTTTCTTCTCCGAATCGCAGTCACCAAATCCCCATGTTGGTTTTGGAACCAATGGGTTTGGAGGTTGCCCACTTCCCCTCCCTCCCCCCACCCTCTCTCCCCCTCACTGATGGCAGAATCTGCCACTGACGAGTGGATCGATCGAGGCTGGATCTGCCGCAACGAGCTGGGGAGGACCTTCAACATCATGCTCTGCCATCTCTTCCCGCGCCTCGGCGCGCAACCCCTCAAATCCAAACCGCGCGCCTGTGTGGGGGGATCCCGGGGGGCAAAAAACAAATCACCTGGGTGTGGCTCAAAATTTCGCGCGTCTCGTGTTCTTCACACCTACTATCGCGAGCGAGTTGTTGCCTGCCACGTTGCCTAGCGCTTGTACACGGGCTGCATGCCAATGCCGGGATGCCAGGTTTTTTTTTTTTTTTTTTTTTTTTTTAAACGATTGGAGGGGCAACCCGCAGGTTTTGGTCCATGTTTTTTCTTACCAGGGCAACCCATTTTGGAATTCCGGTTTTTTGAGCCACGGCCGCCTGGGCCAAGCCCTAAAATTCAAGCGCCTGGGCTTTGGGCTTTTGGGG